GGCGCATTCTAACCCTTGTTTTGTAGGTTTTTATCGAGTCTTTCATTCTATTTTGAGTCATTTTAGGTCGAAAAGTGGCTGGAGTGGAGGAATGGAACTTGCAATGAGACTTGGCGAAAAAGAGGGAAACGGGATCTCTTTGAAGATTCTGGAGATAAGGAGCACCCGTTCCCGATCGGCCGACCTGCTCCGCAGAAGATCGACTTTTGGAAATTTTTATTAAACCTATTTTCGCCACCCAGAGTTGCCCTAATCAATTCCAGCCGCCGAAACCCTTTTAAAAAGAGAGATATCTTCGAGATTTTAGGGGAGACCCACTACAAGAAAACATATAATTAGTGACTATTTTTTGTGACTGTTTATTTAGTCACAAATTTTTGCGACTCATTTAAGACTATTCTGGGACCGATTTGTGACTACACTAAAAATAGTATCAAACCAGTCGTAAATTTGTGACCGATAAATGTAGTCATAAAAGCGTCACACATTAGCGACTTATATGAGACTATTTTTCGAAGGTTTACAGGTGGTCGTACATTCGTCACATATTTGAGACTCATTTGTGACGTTCCGAATCCCAGGATACAACTGCAATCAACTCTCTTTTGCACAAATCAAGAACAGAATCACACGAATGCTAGCATCTGTGTTATACTCTCAGACACAAAAATAAAATAAAACATATGAGAGAGTTTTGTTGTTGTTGAACATATGATCATGTCTGATCATGTTTGATTCGATTCTCTTGAAGAAAGGAGAATGGCTTGATTATATAGCCAGAAAGCTCAACGTAAGCAACAAATGCCCAACGTATGCAATAAAGAGAGGTTGAGAATTCATTCTCATAATAACGTGAATAAGTGCTTATGTTACAAATCAATTTTGACTTTGTACTTTAATTGCCACTTGACTCACACTGTCAATATTAATTTGAGAAGATATTTTATTGACTTTATCAATAATAAAATTCAAAAAGAATTTAGCCCAAAAGATTAATCTTTTGATTTGTTGGCCCAAATCTTCTTTCTCTAATACACCAAAGTGTATTAGTTAAGTGTATTTAAGGTATTAAACCTTGTTAAGAGTTCTCCATTTTATTTAAGGTATTAAACCTTGTTAAGAGTTCTTTTGATCAATAAATTTCTTTATGAACGTGTTTGATGCAAAAAAAAGACCAAACATATTTTTTAACTTTACTTTACATTTGTATTATCTCACATAATATATGTCTCCTACAAATTTATGTCAATTCATATACAAATTTTTATTAATGAACGATATTTTTGCATATAACATTGTATCAATAATTTTGTTACAAATGTTTAGTCTTCGAACCTAAATAATTATTTACTATAAACACTAAATGATTATAATATTTAATTCATAAATAATCAATAAGCAAAAAACTATTGCATATTTTATCATATTAAATTTTAAATCCACGCAACGCGTGGACAATCCCTATTAAATGTGTTTAGTGTATAAATGTATCCTTAAAGTTTAAAACCAATTTGTCGACTAACATCTTGTCGTTCTTTATCAAATTTATGGTGTTCAAGTGTTTCCGATCGATTTGTTTAATATTCCGATTAGTTACATTATGTAGAGCCAGTGTCGTGCCAAGGTTTGTAGAGGCCCGAGGCGAATTAAAAAAATGAGGCCTTTTAAAAACAAAAATTTAACGGTATAGTTTTAAACAATAGAAGTTATTAGAAAAAAAATAATGATAAACAAATTCTAAAACCAATTAAACAAATCTAAAATATTTACAAAAATAAATAAATCTATCACATAAACTTTCATCTTTTTTTTTTGCTTAATTTTTCACCAAACTTTTATAATTATTTATCTGCCATCTGTTTTTTAATATATAATATCAAGTAGCAAATATTGGTGTTTGTCACAAAAAGTCGAGGTATAAAAAAAATTAAAATCAATAAAAGAATTAGAAACAAAATATGAAATAGAAAGAATTTATTATGAAATATAAAATACAAGAAGGCTTGGAAGAAAATAGCGTGAAAGCATAATATAAACTAATAAAACATTCTTAAAATGAGTACACTGAGATTCGAACTCGAGTGGTGGAGGATCCCATTATAATATGTTTAACCACGAGACTATGAATGAGATATGTGATTTTGGGGCCCCTAAATTTATATATTATATGGGAGCCCTAGGCAAATAACTCTTTCTTTACCTCATAGGCACAGACTTTTGTAGAGCATTGCAAAATGGAACGTATCCAAAATGACAATACATTTTTTACTATTTTTAACTACGTTTTGTTTACTCTGGTTACGCAATAACCATTATTAGAAACCTGAATAATATAATTTATGTTTTTGTAATGGAAGAAAGCAATTTGTGTCTTTAACCAAAAAAAAAGAAAGCAATTTGTGATAAATAAATATATACAAAAGGTGGCATTCAGTGGAAATTTGCCTAATTGCCGAGTAGGTGAAGATACCCTCGTAAGCCCTTAAAACGACGCCGGTTCACCGCATTATTATGGTAGAGTAGAAGCTGACACTTCAATACAAATCTCTATAATATTAAAACAGAAGTACATTTAAAAAAATGTCCAAAATGTATGTCAGTATTACTCAAATTGTCATTGCTTTATCATTATAGAACATGGTTCTGATAAAAAAATTATAATTTATTTCGAAGCAATTTTAATGATGCATATCAATTTTAGTCTATATTTTTTTAATCAAAATTAACTTATCATAGTATACTTTAGAATTTAGATAAAAGGATTTGTAAATGACCTACAAATAGTCTTGCATAGGTCTACATCCAAGTACACTACTTGCCACATTGCCACGGTACTTAAAGCATCATAGAGATTCTATGGATCTCTTAAATATATTATTTAAATGAGTTTAGTTATTTTTACTTAAAGTTTAAATTGTTTAAAAAACAATAAACCTATTAAGAATGCACACCTGTTAAATGGGTTTCTCCACAAAGAAGAAAAATTTCTCCATCAAAAACTTCTTTTCACTTTTTTTCCTATTTTTCTATTTTTTTACTATAAATTTTGGTGAAAAATCCTTTTACATACTCTTCATTGAAGCTATTCTTCTAACATGAACTATCAA